AATTTACCTTTTCAGCCCCCGCCTACTTATGTTCTTCCAACAGAGGCTATTTCTGATATGGATTCTTCATTAACCTTAACATAATTTTATGTAAAAACAACCTACCCCAACAATTGTACAACATGGTGCTGTCAGTGGTGCCAGCCTCTCTAAACGTATCCTATATATAACACATTGTACCATAGACGTGGTAACCGGGATTGGGTTGGGTTGGGTGCGCCTTTTCAAATTAAATAAATTATCAACGTGCTATATTATTATACACGAATAAATAATTCCAAGAAAAGACAAATTATGAAAAGTTTGACTATAATAATGGAGATTTGGGGTGGGAGGGGGTGGTGGTAGTAGGATTAGGGGTTGAGAGTAGAATTAGGGAGTAGGGGAGCTGAGAGGAAGTCCTATATTATGCTAGACCTATCCTTTGTAATTTGGTACGATGGTCACAACCCCGCCTCAATCAAATTCTTCAAACATATTTCTGGAGACAAACATGACAGAAGCCCTTGATCAACATGAAGGAATAATCAGCATAGGAGGAAGAAACATCTCAAACCTTCGTTTTGCTGATGACATTGATGGCGTTGCCGGAAGCGAACAAGAACTAGTCAACTTAGTAAATCGGCTTGAAAAGGCATCCTCAGCTCACGTAAGGGAAATAAGTGCAGAAAAAAAACCGTAAAGACCAACAGCAACTTCACACACAACATCAAAGTCAAAGATCAAAATCTCGAGAGTGTCACAAGCTTCAAAATATACTTAGGGTCAATCATTTCAGACAAAGATCAAAGACCGAAATACTCTCCGAAATAGCATAGATCACAGCCGAGCAAACCAAATTCAAACATATCTGGAGAAACAGGAACATAGCCCTAAGCTAAAAGATCAAGGCTTACGTGCTCCTTGGTGACATCAATATTTCTACATTGTATACCCATGTGAATCATGCACTCTGACAGTAGACTCTGAGAGAAGAATAAGAGCTGCTGAGATGAGATGCTTCCGTAAACTGCTCAACATCTCATACAAAGGCCATGTCACTAATGAAGAAGTGAAAAGATGCATAAGAATTAATGGTTTCGGGCCTTGCACCGATTTTCTATCATTGATCAAGCAACGCAAGCTGAAATGGTATAGCCATGTCACCCCTTCCTCGGGCCTTTCTAAAACTATTCTACAAGGCATTGTGCAGGGAGGACGAAAGAGAGGCAGGCAGGAGAAGAGAAGGGAGGATGACATAGGAGAATAGACAGTCATGGAGCTGCAGGACTCACTGAGGAAAGTAGAGAGGCGAGAGGCTGGAGGAGATTTGTTGTCACCTGTCAGAGACGAGTCAACAGATGACAAATTTACTGCAGCAGAAGAAGTTTACCGTTGTAACCCAAATTGCCCTACAGGGATCTATAAAATGTTATTTATATATCTTTGCCAGAGCTTGCACAATCCTCTTCCAGCATCCGCTCACTAGTAGCTTGGAAAGCAACCTGTAGAAAATAAGTTGTTATAAGATGTACCTTTTCGTCTTTGCTGGAATTGCGGCCTCGTCTGGAAAACTCCAGAAACTGATTTGGGCGGGTCTGGAGTAAGGTGTTCGTAAAATTTTACGGCACTTGCAAGACAATTAGTAGGTCATATTAGTGACAAAGATTAGAAACGCAGCTATAAGATAAGATAAGGACAATAGATGTTTGGCTGGAAAGATGGAGCAAACCATCCCAGAAGAGTACCCGCCAACCACCCAAGCGGCTGTGGAGCGACGCTGACAACGTTCTAGGTGTTGGTAATACTTTAATCCTGACCCACATTTTTCCCGGCCAAATCTCCCGTAGCTCATCTCACGGTACGGTGTACATGGTTCAGCTGAGGCAATAGAAGTGGGAGACGAACAGACGGCACCAAGAGACATTTGGCGCTTTCATTTTTATTTTTTTAAATTATTATTATTATGGGTCTGAACTCCCTGTCGCTGTCTTTGTCTCTGTTTCTGTCTCAGTCTTTGTTTATGTCTCTGTTTCTCTGTCTATGGTTCTTCCTCTGTTCCTGTCTCTTCCGTCTTTTTCTCTGTCTGTGTATCTGTCTCTGTGTCTATTTCTGTCTCTGTCTCTGTCTCTGCCACTATCTCTGTCTCTGTTTCTGTTTCTGTCTTTACCTTTGTCTTTGTCTCTGTCTTTGTCAATGTCTGTGTACTTTATTTCACCATCTATCTGCACTTCCAGCTCTGTTACTTGGATCGCCATGATGAGGTCACGGAGACCGGTGCAAAGAAGCGGCCGTGTGAGTGGACTGTAAGTAATTGCAGTACAGTTGGCAGCACGGATCGCCTTGTCCAGGACACAGATTCAGGCATTAGCACGAAGTCTGCCAACTCTGTGAAATTGCTTTCTGGTAGCTGATAGATGTGCCATCAGGCTGCCTTCAAAGGTGATTGCTTGCCCCAGAGTGTTATGAATGCCTCAATTACTTTTGGCATCTTAGTAAGTTATGAAATAAGTATTAGGGTATGGGTCAAGGAAAAATTTCGACCTAAACTAACCCGATGTGTCCAGTGAAAATGAAAGTCGAAAATTGTGGTCATATCATTACTCGGCAAAAAGTGGAAAGACACAGTGAAACGTTTTAATAAAGATCAATTGCAAATTATGTCTTCTTTAAAATTTCCTTCTTTGTTGTTTTTTTTTCTCCCTAGTCCTGATATGTCATCTTATCTCGTCTCCGCTCTGTCCCTGCATGTGTTTTTAAGATTTTTATTTCTCTCGAACAAAAAGTCATAATGTGTTTTCCCAGACATCCACCAAACCAACGCTTTCCTCAAACAAGGAATGCACTATCAAATACCCCCCC